CAGACCAGCACGCCCATGGGCACACAAATGGGCGCAAATGCATTTTCTATTTAAACAGCGTGGCCCAGGATGTGAAAATGACAACTGCGTCGGGCTGAACCTAGCAAAAAACACTTGCGTTGCACCTGGCGCCGCATTGCGCCAGGTGTATGATAGGGCCCCAGGAGCATTTTGTGTGTTTGAGTTTATATATCAGAGAAAACAGTGCCATTCATTTATACAAAGAAATGTAGAACATGCAGAGTTAACCTATGAGTAACAACAAGTACTGACTGGGTGTTATCGCATTAAGTTCTGCTAATCCATATCGAGTAAAAATGTCCAGAGCTTACCATCATTATCGACATAAATTTGTTTTTATGATTTTTTACAATTATTGCGGCTCAATATGATGTTGTTTTATCGCCCAGCCCAATGAGGGAAGAAATTAAAATTTTACATTTCACAGCGCCACCTAAACATATTCGTTGATCGTAATGCAGGTGGGGGTCAGCAGCTTACATACAGTGACCTTGCATGGTGTAGGGAAAATGTGATTGGTACAGACCTGTCCAATCAAGAGGTTGCAGCAGGTCTTCAATACCTGTGTTCGACTTAATGTGGCGCTGTGGACTGAATGGTGTATGACATCAAAATATCACGCGATTTGGTCTGCGCAGTGCTTGGGTGTTTTTATTTGGCATGAGATTTACTTGGGCAGCGTGAAAGCATGAGACAGAGCCCCGAAAGCGTGTGTCTCACCCCAAATGTGTAAGAGTTGGCAACCCTGCGTAAGCATTTTCACCATTTAACTCTGTTTGCTATGCTATCCTTGCATAATTATGTGATTAGTAACATATACTGTATGTTAGCATTTATCATTTAGCATTGTTTTTTTCTCAGCCATCTACAACCCTATAAAAACAGCACCTGGCTGACACCATTTACATATTTTAGATCACATGTTCATAGAGGTTAGTGTAGATTAGAGATTCATCAGGTTGCTAGAGTGTTTTTCTCCACCAGTGATAATTCACTTCCACCACACTCACTGAAAAGAGTGAGGACCACTTCATTCTCTTAAGCACTCCAGTAGAGCTTTCAGCGTGGCACTTAGGACTACTTAGCAGCTTCATATTTAAAAAATATGTCAGGTGGACCAGAGCAGGAGCAGGCTGGGCCCTTGATGAAGTGGGCAATGTAAGAATTCATGGTGGACGTCCCTCAAGACAGAGCTATTTTCCATTTAGAGGATCATGTTCGAACTTAAATATTTAAGAATAAAGCCAAAACAGAAAGACATCTAGAGGAAAATGCATTAAGAATACAGAGGATGCACCACTTCCCTTAAATTTTCCTCAGAAATGTGACATTGACATATTTGCATTGACATACATAAACTGGAACCTCCAGACAGTGCATGATGGCCCCGTTGCTCCACTGTAAATGATGAATGGTTGAGCTCAAAACTTTGTATCAAACAACCAGTAATATAAATGTATAGTAATATACATGAATGTTTGGCCTTTGCATGCAATTGATCTGTTCAGAGCAATGTGTAAAAAGTATACAGGCTGAATGAAAATGCAGTCAAACTTTAGTTTGTGGACCTATTCTCACTATTAACTAACTATTGAGTATGACTTTTGCCTAGGGTGGCCATATGTGCCATTTATACGGGACACGTCCTGGCCATGATTTTTATATTGCCTAAAACATTCTGCGCACCGATCATTGTATGACACCAAAGTAGAGAGCGATTTGAAAGCATAAGGAGCCGTCTGCTCTGCTCTGCTCTCTATAGCTCTCGTGAAATAATGTCATACAACGATCGATCTGCACAGTGCTAACAGCCAAAACCTGGATATTTTAGGCAATATAGAAATCCTGGCAAGGGTGCGTCCCGTAAAAATGGCCTGTATGGTCACCCTACTTTTGCCTCAATAAACTCCAAATTTGCTGCTTATTAACAGTTAGTAAGGTAGTTGTTAAGTTTAGGGATGTTGAAGGATTAAGGGATCTAAAATATGGTCATGCAGAATATGTGCTTTATAAGTACTAATAAACTATGCCAATATGCTAGAAATATGCATGCTAATAAGCAACTAGTTAATAATGGGAATTGGTTCCTAAACTAAAGTGTTACCGAAAATGCAAATTCACTCTCTGACCGTAGGTGGCACTTTTAGAAAAGCAGAAATAACCCCCTTACCCTGATAAACAAAGCACAACACAACTTTCAGTTTCTGACACTTGATTGTCACAGAGAATAAAGGTAGTCAAAATGTATTTGCATGCAGCAGTTCATTTCAAGCATTTCAAATAGCCGTTCAGATTTTTCTATTCATGATTGTATCAAACAACACCAAATACAAGAGTACACAGACAAGAGACAGACAACAGATACTTCCTCTGCTATTCACTGCTTATTAAAACAGTCAGCTCATGAGCGCCACCATGTTGTAGTTTTATGTAACAGCAGTGGCTCTGGGCAGGTGACAGAAAGTGTGAATCTTATTGGCCTGGGTTCTTTGCGGTGCGATCGAAAAGATATTAGAACATCTATCCATAATTTTTATTTATTTTCTTTTCTTTTTTTTTTCAACAAATTTTCACACTGAACATTCGTTTTATTGTGAACAGGTGCTGACAGTGCTGGAAACGTCATAAACAGATTGCATGAAGATGCAGTTAGTAGAAATTGTAGCATGTAGTTTACAATTCAAAACCTTGCCTTTTGCCATTTAACATTTATAAACATTGCAAAAATACAAGTCATTACTTAATTTCACTGTTTAGTTTTACATTGAATAGCAGCTTTGGGGAACAGCACAGCAGACACCAAAATAAAAACATATATACATATTTGCATAGACCAACACATTTTATCATTGTTAACTGACATCTGTGCCTCCCCAATCTCAAAAAGCACCGGCCCCACAGAAAGTAACACGAACAATCTGGAAAAAAGGGAACAAGCCTTCTAAACAAGCTCTGCAGGTGGAGCCGAAACATGAATGTGACAGTCAGCTGCTCAGACCTTCCATCAGTCATTTTGAGCAGTGCTCAGTGTTTTTTTTTTACGCAATGCTAACACCTGTGGAGTGCACCAAGCCAATGTCAACAGTTCAGGTTGGAAAGTGAGATGACTCCGGGGCCACAGACCCAAAGCAAACATGCAGAAAAACAATCAGCGTACAGGCATCACAGCCCATCCCATCTGAGTGTTTCCGGGCACATGCATTACACAAAACTCAGGAGCACAGACACTTCTTTGAAAGCGCTTAGGCACAGGTGGGCCAAGGGTGTTTTGAAAGGTACACTTTACTGTACAGGAGTAACCGGACCCGGACAGGATCCTGCTTTTAGTTGACTAGATGGCATGTGCAGGAAATGGTAAGTGCTGAGGGAGGTGTACACCTCACACACATGAAAAGGTGCTCTGATCTGTCCCACAACAGGCACACAGGGTCTGACCTAGATTCCCCCATCCTGTAAAAAAGCTGCTCTGCCAAGTAAGGCAGAGTGGGAAGGGCTGAGCTGTGGTGCGTAGCTTTGCCCCATCTCTCTCTCTCTCTCTCTCTCTCTCTCGCTCTCCCAAACATGGGCGGAGTGTAGCGTGGCCTTTTCAAACTCACCCGGCTGGCAAGCAGACTGGCTTTTGGAAGCAAGCAATGCTGTTTTGAACCGCTGCCAAATGAGACAGCCTCTGCCGGCGCAGCTGAAACTTTTTACAGCCTCCCCTCACTTCGACAGGAAGAGACAAGGGGAGCAAATTTGTAGGAGAGGGGAAAAAAAGAGCAAAATAAATCTTTGTAGCGTCTGCAACTAAGGCACTGCATCAAGGATTTCCTTCTGTGCTTTCACGCTCCCCTACTTTGGCAAGGTGCCATTCGAAAAAAGATTTTTAAAAGAGAGATTTTTTTTTCTCTCTCTGGGAGGATTGAACGGGGAACGGATGTGCTAGGAAGTGAAGAGTTCAACGAGTTCAGTAAATGAGAAATATGTAAATGCATCAATAACAAAAGAACTGTGACGTCACGCACTGTGCTGCCCAAGACACTGCCTGCAAGCAGACGGGACAAATGTGGACTCATTTGACAAGATGCCATTAGCGTCCTATAAAGAGTATTCCTGTTTTTTACATCACAGATTCTTGCACAGGAAGAAGACCATGTGAAGTCTGCAACGACTGCAACGAATGACATGTTGTAGTCACTTCCTCTTTCATGGTAAGGACTTGAGGACCTGACAAACTTTTAGCATTACGACTCCACTGAAAATCGCAACAACTTTCTCAGTGCTTATTTGCATAGCGTTTCGCTACTCTTAACTAAATGACTGCATGCAAAGTGCAACATGGATGATGATGTTAAACACAAGTTGAGTAATAAAACCAAATGAATCAGTCAGGCAAATTAGATTAACTGAGTGTAGTGTCTTTCAAGACCCTTTGAGGAAGTACAGCGGACCACTCATGTCATCTTTCCCTGATAAAGAAATCCAAAACGCAGGCGGTGGCAGAACAGCCTCTGGATGTGTGTAATGATTAGCGAGGACTATAACTGGAAGGCTCAAACTACCTGGGACAGATGCCAAATGCTGACAAAGGCAATCATTGCATTCTCAGGGGCAAGCAAAATCAACTCTTTGTCCTCTTGCGCTTCTTTTGGGAGGGTTTATAATTCCTTGAGAAACCACCGAAAGCATTGACTAAATGCCGAAGGGGTTGGTCACATGCTTTGCGTAAAGGGCATGAAAAATCACGTAAGTATTATTAACCTGTTCTGCATCTGGTGTTAGTCGGGACCCGTTCAGCTGATCAAGAGTTTTCTTTAAATAATCAATTCTGAGTCCTTATTTTCCAGACTGTATACTAGGAGAAAGAGGGGTACAACCTGACCTTCTCACATTCCCATAAAAACAAGTTTGTCAAGTTTTGCGTGCTAGTTTAACACGGACGGTAGCAATAACTGTACCTTTATGGGCACTTTGTGATTTTCTGCATGCCAAACCCTCTCTTCCTGATCTCTGATTTCTTTTACGTTACTCAAACTCCCTTACATTCTCCACCTCCTCTCTCCCTCTCTCAGCTTCTGTCTTTCACTTCGCATCCTGTGCCAAAGTGGGCAGGGAGAAAGAGCTCGTGGTGAGGCGGGTTAAACGGAGGCCGCTGTACGTGCTCTTTCTTCAGCCACAACCCCGTGGAAGAGCATGTTTGGTGGTAGCACGTTTCTAGGTCTCTCCCCCCGAGATAGGCGTAGTATGTGCATGAGTCTACTCTTCCCGGCGCCATGACCCTGCCTTGTGTTCTTTGACGTTGAAGCCTCTAGGCTGCAGGTATTCCATTTATTTTCTCGCTTGCGTACTTTGGAATGTCCCATAGATTATTTGGTTACTTTTTAAGAAATTCTCTTAAAGCATCATTGTCGATTCTTTTACCCAGCAGCTCTGGCTCTCTTGTTCACTGTTGTCTTCCTCTTGTAAACGTGTCTGAGTCCATGCCTCGGATTCTGCCATTTCTACTACACTAAACGACTTTAGAACAAATGAATTGTTAATGTACATTTGATAAATGTTTTTAGGCTCGAAGCTATTTAAAAAAAAATTATTTTTGTTAATATAAAGTTATTTTCACAATTAGGTACGCGTTCCTTCAGATAGCATGTACATTCCTTTAGCTTTGGGTCATTTTGTGCGTTTAATTTTAGGGTTTGAGTTTGTTTAAGGATTTGAATTCATTTGAACATCCAAATAGTGTTTGGGTGCTACCTTAATGTTTTTGAAGGAAAATTAACACATTGATGTACTTGGATGTGATGCTAATGTTTCGTGAATGGCCTATAAATTCCCATTAAGTAAAATATAGGTTGTACATCCCTCAAATTTCTGTACAAAAATCTTACGGTCAGTTTTGTATTTTATATTTCTATAAAAAGAAAGTGCCAGTGAGGACTCAGCTGGCAGAAATAGTACATTTAAGAAAGCATAAACTTATACGAGATACACGAGAGCATTCGGTCACTTGTTTGGCATTGGTAGATATGATCAAAGGACTTATTTTTATATTCAGCAGGTATTCTTTCAAAACGTAGGCTTGTACTGTTTGTATTTGACTGTTTTTTTTTCCTGTTGCGTTTGCATTGCAAATGACATGAATGGCAAAAAAAAACAAAAAAAAAAAACAGTGGGGCTAGTTTGGGAAAGAAAATAATTAAATAAAATAGCTCACTAAATGACATTTGTTATGCAGGAGTAACTGAACAAAATACTGATCAAATATTACAGACAGAATACAATTGTGTGCCTTTTTGTCAAATTCCCAGTAAATTCCTTTAAAACGGGGTGAACAATCAACGAGATCTGGTTTCCTTAGAAAAGAGGTGGTGACATCTTTTTTGTTACAAGGCTACTATAACTTGGACAAAATGGTACCAAATTTGAAAATGCATTGATGAACTTGATTTAAATCTAAGTTACGTCTTTAAAAAATTACAAAGAAAAGCTCTCAAGATGGCGTCGACATGCCACGTGTTTGTGTACTACTGTACTAAGTGTATTTTACTTAAAGGGATTTTTTTAAATGCAGTCTTTTTCAAATAACAGCAAACCTTTTTTATGAACAAATCCTTATTTAACAGCAGATCGGCTCTTCGCATGCAAACAAAAGCGTAAAAGCTGTGTAAAATGGTGCTGTTAGATTGCAATAGCACATGATGTGCTGATGTTTGTTGATTTAGCTGTAGAGCAAGGATTTTTCTTTGATAATGTTCTTTTTTGTGCTTTATTACTCGTCAGCATAAGGAAGGAGGGCAGGTAATTTACTGCTTTGTAAGGTATAACCGAGAGACTCGCTAAAGGGGCACAAAAGTTTGTGTATACATGTTTTTATTGCTCAGAGTCAGAAGAGATGGCAACAGGAAAAAAGTGGAGCGAGGGAGGGAGGAAAGGAGAGTATTTCCTCCACCCCCTGTTCTCTTCAGATGAACTTATCATGTAGCATCATATTTTCTCTCTCTCCCTCCCTTCCCCCCCCTTTCCCATACAGCCCGCTCCCTCCTACATTTACTGTAGCTGACAATCAGATGCACTCTGGGCACCGACCCCACATTAGCAAACAGGAAGTTTCAAAACAAACAGAGTTTAACCCTAAAAATACTTAGATTTCACTGCATACACAATCAAGTCTACGACCTCATGCTAGAATAGACAGAATACAACACCAGTTTTGTAATCACAGAGTATTTTGACTTCAAACTGAAAGTTTTATTTGGATGAAGTGTTTATACCGAAAGCAGAAAATTCACTGCAGGTGAGAAAACACTGCTGTTTGCCCTCCAAATGCACAGACACGCAGCATATGCTCGCAGCCTATTAGTTACACAGCCCCAGACGGGGGCAGAGATCTAACTCTAATCTGCAAGTTCTTTGTATAAATAAGGCAAGGCAGAATCCTTATCGTCGAGTTTCGATGAGTAACAGCAGGCTCTCCGGAGACCGCGTGACAGAGTCAACCAAGGTCAAGCCAAGCCCAACTTCCTGTTTTTTGGGGACTGCTATTTTTGCTTTAAGGGCGTTTCTCTCTGCTATAGGTTGATGACAGGAGATCATAAGCAGAATGATTAATGACATTTTTGAAGAGTTATAGCTTTCTATGGCTTAACTTTTTTAAGCAGTGGCAAAGCTGTGTGGAAGGAAAAACTGAGGAATAATGTCACAGGTACAGTGAATGGAACAGGAAGAAAAGTTTTGCTAAATGTAGTTCGGGGAAATATTACGCTATATCCTGTGTACAATGATTCATACAAAAAAATATGGCATGTTTCATGTTAAGAATCTTGTGCAACAGTTGTACTAGAGGTTAATTTGCGAGTAATATGCTAGAACTCACCACTGGTGGGAATGCTGATCTACAGCTGTTCAAACAAAAGATTACAGATGAGATAGATAGCGACAGTTACTATCAATAGTAAAAATGAAAGACCTTTATTGTTTGTTCATACCGTATCACATAGTTTCCTCGTTTATGTTGCGAAGGCTACTTTACTAGGTTCCCTATTTTTTTATTTTATTTTTTTAATTGTGGCCTCTTACTCTTCCTCTGCCAACATCCCCCACCCTTCAGTGCTCTACCCACCACCCTCTTCTCCGTTCATTGAAATTCAGCCTGGCATACAGGCACTGCCCCTTTCTTGGCACCAGACTCAGGGACTCGGCGACAGAAAGGAGGAGAGAAAATTAAAATGAAAACAAGATTACGTACCAATTTCTCAATCGCTGAGCTTGTGCCAAACAGTCAGCCCGTTTCGGTGGATCTAACGCAAGATTATCGATAGGCATTTTCGGTGTATGATTTCAGCAAATATCGTAATCACATATGGCCTTGGCAACCATAACGCAGTGGGAGGCGTTCAGCAGGCTAATTGATTTGCCCCTTTACCTCCTGCGATCCGACAGTCACAAGGGCTAACGGCTGTGTCCTTTGGTCGCTAGGTAAGATAGAAGGACTTTTGTTGATCTTATTTGATTTGTTTACATATTTTCTGATTTGCAAAATCCTCAGACAGGGAAGTAAGATGTTCCTTTGTGACTGTAAAATGCTTGGTGTACGATTACGCCAAGAGGTGGTATAGGTGAGGCGTAAACAAATGCAGGCAATTAAAAATGGCAGACACATTTATTGAGACACACACCGATGTCTGTTTAATTGCTACTTTGAGAAACATGTTTTATCATGTATCACAGGGTGTGATATATTAAGCCAAGAATATTTGTAATAAACGCTTTTGTGATGTTTTTCATGTACAAGAAACACAGGCTCTGTTCCAAAACCTAGGGAGCTGCCTAAGTAGGGAGCACTTTAAGGCCTGTTCCAAAAGGTAAGATACTTTGCTTGAGCCAAATTCTGAGCATAAGGCATTGCAGGAGTCCTTCACGGAGAAGGCAATCCCAGAATGCATTGCAAGCTAAAAAAAAAAAAAAAAAAAGCAAACCAAGATTGCTGCCTGGAATTTTAGGCTTTTATG